AATAATTTCCTGAAGACAAACACATTAATATCGATATTTCTAGAAATATTCCTTTTTATTTGCCATATGGCAATTCCCCTTGCATTTCCAAGATATGCTGATGGAGTAGCAAATTTGAACAGAACACAAAGAAGCAGTGTCACAAATCTTCAGTTCAGAAGTCCCCTTCATAAGTAAATTGAGTTTGTAATACTAGTATATAGATAGTGGGTGTCATTATTTGGTTTCTACGGAAAAAACTTCTAGAGACTTTTTTTCCTACTTGAGGATGAATTGTGTCAAGGCTGGTAACATCGATCGATGACATGGGTTGTGTTGGTTTTAAGGACTGCTGTGGTTTGTGACATATTCGCATACCCATGCGACTCAAACGTGTTCTAAAATAGGATACTCCGATTTAAAAAATTCACCTCGTGTTATGGGGCAAATATGATTCACAATTTGTCACTTTTTTGAACGGTAGCGTTTTTTCGGGCACCTCAAAAACCATCCAAAATGAGCTTATTATAGACAGTGTAGCATACATTATTAAGGAAAATATAAGCAAGGAGATTGAAAATGTTTCTTTTTTTGCATGGGAAATTGATGAAACTACCGATATTACCTGTTCATCACAACTTTCAATCGTTTTTAGATATGCCAAAGATAGTGATGTGGTAGAACGTTTTATGGGTTTTCATGATGTTTCATCTGGGCGCACAGCTGACGATTTGTTCAATTTTTTAATTTGTACGTGTGACACCTAGAATTTTAGGCAAAAGTTAATTGCGCAAACCTATGATGGGGCTGCGGTCATAACCAGCCATTCAAATGGTTTCCAAACTAAAATGAAGTCCATAGCTCCTCATGCATTTGTTCACATTGTCATGCCTATGCCCTAACTTTAGTATTAATCAAAGCGCGCAACAACATAAAAATTTTCGCGCCTCCGGCGGGCTTTTCTGTGTGTATATAGTCTATATGACTTGAACCTCCCCTGTTCTCCAATGCACGAGCCGTCACTGAATAGTCCACTCGGCAGGACGATCATGGAGACCGTATAAAATGGGCAACACGCGCGATACGTTTCCAGAACACAACACCCACATTTTGATAAAACAGTTTTATCATTTACACATGTGCTATATCCATCCATGTTGATTTGGTAAAACAGACAGAATGACAACTGATTTGACAGATGTGGCTCCAACAAGATGACCGTTGTCAGTTGTCAAAGTTCGAAAGTTCATGTTGAAGACCCTGGTTAATTTTAATACATTATTAATTCTTTTTATTTCTAACCAGTAGCTTCAAGGTATGTTTGGAGCGGAGCTCTATACATGAGAACAATACTCCAAATAAGGTCTGATCTGAGCTTTATAAAGCATCAAAAGTTGCTGAGGTCTATAGAATTTTCTGGTCTGGAACAGTGTTCCAAGCTTTTGAGAAGCAGCTTTTGCAATTCCAGCGATATGATTGTGATAATAAATCGTCCAACTTCAGCCTTATCAATGGAAGATCTAGAAAGAACTGTTGGTTCTTTGAAAAATAAAAGTAGTCCCGATGAAATTTGTGTAGAACTTCTGAGTGTGTTTCAGTGCCATTTGTAATCCATTGTTGAACATTATCAACAGTTCTTTAGAGAAAGGAGAAGAATATTATTGGAGTTTTTTCCTAACACCAAATCGTTATTTTTAACACCTCGACACGTGTTTCGATCACCAAGTGATCATCTTCAAAGAGGAAGATCAAAACTAGAAGCTGATGCGAGCTAACCCTATTTATGCTTATGAGCAGATTCGAATTGGAAACCAAAGAAAAGTTGAAGTATTTTCCTAGGATTTGGCTAAGGTATGTGGATGATATTTTCGCGATATTCGATAACAAAAAATTGAATATTGGGGACTTTGTTTCCATTTTGAATAATAGATGTCCAACAATAAAATTGACGTATGAGTTAGAAAATAAGGGACAACTAACATTTCTTGACGTTTTGGTAATGAGGAGCCAATATGGAGGGTTAGAATACGATATATTTAGAAAATAAACAAGCGCGTAGAGGTATATTCCTGACAGTTCACATCACTGTGGACAGCACAAACGTGCTGGGTTGAATTTTTTAGTGCATCGTCTTTTGACTTTCCCTCTAACACATGATAAGTTCACAAAAGAAAGACGTACAATACAGGAAATAGCAGCCACTAACGGTTTCTCGAGGGGTATTGTAGATGACATAATAAGGAAAAAGAAGTTTAGGTTAAGAATGAACGAAATCTCGTCTTTCAGAAAGGACAAAAACCAAGATAAATACATCTCAGTTCCATACCACCAATATACGAGGAACTTTGGAAAGATTTTCAAGGAAGTAGGTATGAAGGTGGTTTTTAAAACAAGTCATACACTACAGAGCCTTTTGGGAAGTCCAAAAGACAAAGTCGAGAATTCGGAAAAGTCTGGAATTTACGAAATTGAATGTAAGGACTGCGATGCAAAATATTATGGACAGACAAAAATATTTATTAAAGTAAGATATAAGGAACACATAGCACACTTAAAATATGGAAGACCTGAAAAGACAACATTTTTGCAAACATACGAATAGATGTTCAAAGAATTCCAAATATCATTTATTTTAAACATTATGTAACATATAACCTTCGAAGATGACATTTATACCATGTATATCAAAATTTCAAATAGTTTGCGAAATTAAAGTAAACGATGAAGTATGAGTTTTCAAAAATATGGTTTGCCGTTGGAGAAAAAATATAGTAACTTCAACATTTGTGGTTGATAATGTTTCATGATAAATTTAGCTAATTCGGAATTTCATTGTCTAATATGATATAATATAATCCCTGAAACAACAAATGGAATTGAAAAAATAAAATGGATAGCAATGATGGTTTGCCAATGGGATCGCCACTTTCAACAGTCATAGTCAACATATATATGATGTGGTTCGAAACTCTGGCCATTAAAGAAGCCCACAAGAAGCCCCCAGTCTGGTTAAGATACGTGGATGACACCTTCATAATATGCAACCATGGAAATGCAGAACTAAACACCTTCCTGAAGTACATCAATAGCTCAAAACCTTTCATCACCTCCACAATGGAGAACAAAATCCTCAACGAATTGCTACTCTTGGACGTATTGGTGACGAAGATCAAGTGGGAAACATCTGTATACCAAAAATCGTCTCATGCGGGACAGTATCTGAATCATGAATCTAACCACCATCAATCAATCAAAAAAGAAATCATCAAGACTTTAGTGGATCGTGCTCTTGGGCTCTGTAATATGTAAGAAGGTCTCGAGAAGGAACTAGGCAATATCAAAAAGACCTTTAGAGAAATGGTCACTCCAAAGTGATGGTGGAACAGAAGACAGCAAGAGACTCACAAGGAAGAGAAGCCGTTACAACCAGTGCTTGCCCTTCCCTACCTCAAAAGATTGTCGAAAAGGACAAAATGAATTGGGTAAAAGTACAACATCAAAATCTGCTTCAGATCCTGAAACATCAATCGTAGCAGCCCTGCGAAAACCAGGCTACCAGCCGCGGACTGCGATTCCAAGAATTGTATTAACCGGATACCCTGTTAGTGTGGCAAGTCCTATATTTGGTGAAATTAAGAGGCAATCGAAAGTCTGCATTGCTGAGCACAGGAGGAACACACAGCGAGAAGGAACCAGCAAATCGGGAAGAGCAGACAAAGCATGTTTGGACTCATCAACATAACATCAAGTGGTCCCAAGCTGAGATTATCCATAGGGAGGAACACTGGTTTGAGAGGAAGTTCAAAGAAGCTGTTCCTTCTGAGATTTCAAATCATAATATATCATATTAAAAAAGGAAGTCCAAAATAATAAAATTCATAGTAACTTTAACCCGCAGGTAATCACAATTCGGCATTTTGCACAGAAAAGATCCCTTGTCCACAGTAGAGTATTATTTTCCGTTGAATGTAGTTTGATGTAAATGAGTCCATTTTGTGTAACTAACGACGTGGAAATTTCAGGTGAAAAGTTCGTCATCTTCACGCTACAATGATTCATTAATAGTAATGACTCGTCAATTGGCTACATAAATAAATAATATACGAAATATACGAGTGAAGTACTAGAAATGGAAACTCAATACTTCTTTGGTATTATCAACTGCTTGGCTCAGAAAAAAAATTATACGTGAATTCTCCAATTTCAATGTTTAATGATAAAACTGGAACTTTTCTCATGGGAGGGCTGATGTGGTATTACGATAGAAAAAAAATATAGACATCAAGGCTCTGTTAACCGATCGAAGTTGGATTGTAGTTCCTCACAACTTCTATAACAGTTATTTTAAATTTTCTGCCATACTATATTTCTGTAATGAGAGAAACAGCAATTTTTATCTATGCAATTCAGCACAGCTGACATGAAAGCAGGACAAAATAGTGTACCTTATTAGAGTGAAGCGTTTGCTTCGCTGATATCTCTTCGGCCATCCCTCGTAACCCACTTAAAAAGTGGGTAAGTCGGTGCGACGTATTTCAAACGCGACTATGCACATGTTGATTAAACCAGCAGTATCAAATTGAGAGTGGTGTTATTATTTATATCTTTATATCTAGTATATTTTTATATTTCATTGTTTACAATCAAGTTGTGATAACATCAACGTTCGTTTTATAAGCTGCCTATCGAAAATGGTGATGAAACGGGACCGACAAAATTTCAATTCAGTTTGAATTGGTCACGGCACCTCGTCAAACAATGCTGGAGTTCAATTTCTTAATTGTGTGTTGGTTTATCTTGTGCTGCCTCAGCGGGATTCAGTGCTATGGGGGTAAGAACAATAGTTTTTTGTGGCCAGTTGAATACTTTTCCGAATATCCAGTTTCTTTCTGTCTTGAGAAGCAAAATTGGTAATAATTTTCGAAACCAGATCCAATAGACATGATTATAGATTTTTGAACACTATGATATAATGTTGGTGAATTTACAGAGAGGGTCATCGAAAACTTGACATGGGGGTTTTGGGTACTAATCTTGCAAATCCGAAAAAACGCTCAGAAAGGTTGATTTTTATTGGGAGAGGTACAGTTTTTCCCATTTACAGCGTCGTCACTTTAACCCCGGAGCAGAGGGGTGAACAACCCTTGGAATTTTAATAGGGAATAGGGGCGAGTCGCACATCGTTTAAAAGACCTTGGAATTCTCTAAATAACAAAGTACTTTTTTTTTAAATTTGGACGTATTTGAAAGAGTTCTTTCTGTTAATCAACTTTTTCAATATTGTTAATAGCAACAAATTAAGTTGAATTCTTCACAACAATCGTAAATGCAACTGCAATTAAAAAAAACTGATTTAAAGTCAGAATCAATCCAATTCACTGATGAAAACAAATAAAAAAGTGAATTATTTACAACATCGTTAATGCAAATCCAATTGAAAAAACAATTGAGTTTTCTGATTTATGATTAGATCAAATTCAAAATGAAAATATAGAATTATCACATTTCGATCAAAGTTCGAATAAAAATGAACTTTCCATTGATGGAAGAAACGAAACAAAGGACAATCTTGGACTTAAAAATCCTAACGATGAAGAAAAAGAATTGCCTAATAGCAAACTTCAAGCAACACTGTCAAAAACCGCAAATATCACATAATTGCGACTCTCTTTGATCCACATACATATATGGATATAACCGTCCTGTATAGTAGTCCCAAGCAGAACGTTGGGACTACTATACAGGGTGATAATTTAAAAAATGTCCGCGCCAAGGTTCTGAGAACCAGAAGAGACGTTCACATAATTTCAAAAACATATCAGGCTATTTGACGAAAGCTAATGATGTTATAATAATATTTCCTTTCACAAAACATAGTAACATATGTACTAGATGGACTAAAGAATTCGTAGGCTAACACGCAGATGGTGCTACTAGCACTGAATCCATATGATTTTTAGTAAACCCAACTTTCAAAAGACACGTATACAAATTTCACAGCTCTTGGACTATCATTTTGTGGAATAGAACATTTCAAGTGAAGCAGTTAGTTTGAATAAAATGGAATATCGTGTGTTGATAGAGCAAAAAACACTATCGAACCAAAACTTTAACTATTATTCAAAAGTCTATCTCCTTATTAGATCGCTCTGTACCGCACTGTCCGCAAAACTTGTCTTCACTTCACTTGACTTCACTATATCGATATGCACGTGGCTAGCGTTTATATAGGGCAATCGAAGTGCCTCGAAGGCGGTAGAGAATTCGCCGGAATTCCATCGAAACAGCGAACAACCGCGAAACGCTGGCCACGTCACAATTGATTCACGATGGCCAGCGGCGGCCAACGATATTTTTTTAGGGGATGATTCACGATAGTATTTTGGGGTGCGCATAGTTTAATATCTACCAACCATTTCGAAAAGCAAAAAACAGCCCCATTTGAAGAAAGGGAAATTTATGTTCCATCAAGATAATGAACCGTGTCACAAATCCCAGCCACCGCCTTAGATTGAGGTAAGCACTTCTGTCCAGCCTCGAGATTGGTTTTTGTTTTTGTTGTTTCTGTTTTTGTGTGATAAGGGATTGAACTTTGCAAGCCTGAGATCGTTCTGTACCTGTCAGAAAGACACTAATTTTGTCAGATTATGCCTGGAATCTATTTCTATTTCATAGCCCATGAAGGACATGCAAAAACAGCTATCTTTACGAAAACACCATTTAAAGGATTAATCGAAGATTCAATCCACTAATATCAACGATAAACGAGGCTTGTGAAGACGGCATGTTTCAGGAGTTGAGCTCCTGAATGTATTTCTGTCTTAGCTAGATGTCGCCTCCTTATGGAGGACAACCTTTCAAAGTATAAACATGTGCGAGCTAAGGATTAACGAGGTTTTACGATACAACCTGCGTTGTACCGTTAGGGATCGAATCAACTTTTATAATTAATAGCAGCAGCTTAATGGGTGGGACACTAACCAATCGGTTAACAAATGATTTCTTGGCGTAAGTGGTCGAACGTGTCACATCTTGCTATCCTCGGTCGAGTCAAACTTTATATTTGTACAAAATGGAAATAAATCTGAACTGAAAGTAGTGTCTCCTAGATGGAGGATCTTACAGACTTCCTTTCCCTATTGGTAGACTTCTCGATTTGCCTTTTACTTGTTGAAAGGTTACAACAAAAATATTCAGCATACGTTGAATTGAACTTCAAATTCGTATTATTTCGCAAATTTTAGTCCAGGGAACCCGTATTCAATAGCAAGATGTAAATATTCACTGAAAAATAAACAATTTAAAAAAGAAACTAGTGAAGAAAAACTAAAGACCTCCGTAGGTCACGCAAGAAGAAATTTGTCCTCCAAACTGTTGGAGGCAACTCACTTATGAAAAATTGTGTTAGCATAAGAAAGCCCCGACTTATCTGGAAAATTGGCTTTCTCTTCATTTTGGCATGCTGAAAAGAAGATTACTTCTGTTTTTCAGTTTCTACAGTTTCATCTGTAGCAGTTTCCCCAGAAACAATTTTTAGCAAAATATTCATGTCCTTACAAAACAACTTCTAAACCAATATGTTTTTCAGGAGTCTCTCAATGTGGACGAGTTCACATAACGGTTTCTTCTCTCCGAGGAACTTTCTTGGAAATGCATTGGATAACCGACTGTAACAATGGTGAAACGATCCCAGAGTACATAATCCTTTCCAGCAGGAATGTGCAGGATCGAGATGTGAGTAGAAAAACGTAAAAGTCTACATCGTATAGGTAGAAACGTAAACTTACTAATGTTGATTGACGATACCAGTTTTGTAGGTGTCTAACATAACATTAGCTGTGGTTTGTTGATTTTCAGCATTGTGTTTCGTCTGCAACTGCGGCAGATGCAGATGAAAGGTGATGCAGCAATTTAACAAGTGGCTTGCCCAATCTTCGAAGTAAAAATGATCAAGTTCAATACGTATACTATTTACTTTTGTTTACATATAGCGTTATCATACGTGGTGCAGTTTGTTCTAGGATTAGGCCTTTTCAGGAGCGTGACTGAAAACGGTCCTGACGTGTTTGTATTCATAACGGAAGTGGATGTCGCACGTCCAACTGTTTTCGCACCTGCTTATTTCAACTCTTGTTTCCAGTACTAGAGTCTACAGATCTTTTATTGTACGTTGGTCATATTCATCTGAATATAATTTGAATTAAGTAGAAGCGATGATAATGAAGACGTCACCTAGGGAATCAACAGAAGTCTCAGTCCTCGAATATCAAGGATAAACGAGGTTATCTAACGGTCAGCTGTAAAGTCGTTCTTCGACATTCACCGCCGATTGACATTCGTCCTCTCTTTCACAACAAGAAAACTAGTTGAAACCAAAGCCCAAAAAGAAAGAATTTGTAATCTAACACTAGACAGCACTTTTCTAGTCACTATTGGTGCTAGGCTCAGCCACAAATGCTTTGCTGGGATCAACTGTTCTCAGTGGTCAAGCCTGATTGAATAGAGCGACAAAAGAGTAAATCCAAGAATACCAAAAATACACGTGGCTCTTCCAGGCGGTCAGCTGATTGTCGTGGACTTACTCCTCTTTCGCTCACATAGATGGCATAGAGGATATACTTGAGGCCAGCAATGCATTCTTGGTACAGTCTAATACCAGTGACGAGATTTGACGTGAGACCATGCATCTGATCAACTTGTTATTTTATTAAACGGTTTGTGAATTTAAATTCATTCAAGGAAGTATGATAACTTAGATTGAAAATATATTCACCATGTTTTTTGTAATGAAAAAATCCTAAGAATTTTTTCTGTACCTTTTCAATTTCATTTTCACAAAGTGAATTATAAGGAGGCCATATTATTGCACCCTATTCTTGTATACTACGGACAAATGCATCATAGAGTGTTAGTAATGTGGATATTTTTGTGAATTTGGATAAGTTCCTAATAATGAAGCCAAGCATTCTATATGCTCTGTTTATAATGTTGGTCATATGTTGCTCAAAAGTGAGTTTTTCATCCAGCCTAACTCCCAAATCTCTACATTCTGTCTTCTTGGCTAAATATTCATTATTTATCTCATACTAAAAATCATTCCGTAGTTTTTTTTAGTAATTGACATACTAAAGCATTTGTCAACATTCAATGTGAGGCGATTTGACAGGAACCACTCGTAAACTCTACGTCATTTTGTAGCAAAATCACATTTTCTTGACTTTTTATTTCCTTGAATAATTTAAAATCATCCGCGAATAGTGCACATTGCGATTTCTGAACTACCTCTAGCAGATTATCTTTTAGTAATAAAAGGAAGAGGGGTCCTAGATTGGACCCTTGGGGTACACCAGATCTTGTGAAGAAATCCCTGATTCACAACCCTTATAAACTTCTTACTGTTCTTACTGTTTGCCAAATTCTACTGTGTGAAGACGTATTAATTTTCTTAGTAAGATTGGACCCGATTTTGATCATTTTATCAACTGCACGATGTTTTCCTTTCCTGATCTTCAGTTGATGATTACAGGACGACCATGGCATCTTACTGAAGATAAAATATTCAGACTACCCAACCGGGGTTTACACCACCAATGTCAACTTTGGACATCCATGGCTGCCAGGTGGATGGGAATACGATGAAAATTCGGTTCGGGCTGATCCAGGACCGCATTGTTTTCCTTTCTGGATAGCTTCAGTGAAGGGCAATGTCACCATAGATTCGAGATGTCTCGCCATTCAACCTACGTGGATGAGCGATAATAGGTACATAACAAAGATATTTATTCAGTTGGAGCAATTATTTTTTTCAAGTAGTGAGCCAAAGAGTGTGGTATTTATGTACTTACATTCTTTGAACACGAACTCGAAACCTATAAATGATTTAGTGATTTATAACCTACAATATGATGTTAAGACACTTGTTTATACCTTATTATTGGTAATCACCTTGCATTTCCAAGATATGCTGATGGAGTAGCAAATTTGAACAGAACACAAAGAAGCAGTGTCACAAATCTTCAGTTCAGAAGTCCCCTTCATAAGTAAATTGAGTTTGTAATACTAGTATATAGATAGTGGGTATCATTATTTGGTTTCTACGGAAAAAACTTCTACAGACTTTTTTTCCTACTTGAGGATGAATTGTGTCAAGGCTGGTAACATCCTAATAATCACAATTTTAGAGATCAGAGGGATGGAAATTCAGAGATTGATCCAGTCGAAGATCAGGGTTCAGATGAATTATTCTTTCCTCAATACCAATAGAGTAACAGGACCTAACGACATTTCAGCCGGCTGATTGGAAAACTGTTGATGCTCAACCAATTCCCGTGTAGAAAGAAACTCAATCCAATAAGATGTAGATGGAGAGAGCTATGAACAATGATTAGAGGTGGGTTGACATAGATTTTTCCAAAACCAAGAATTCAATATATTGCTTTGCTGACGACAGCACACTTGTCTCGTCATTCCATTTGGATTCCAGGACATCGGCTTCAGATTCATATCTTCACTGGCAGCAGGAGGTTGCATATCATGATAAGGACCTAGAGGTGATTTCAAATTGGGATGAAAATAACCAGGTTCAATTCAATGCCACAAAAACCCAGACAGACATCAGTTTTCTCCGAAAAGATAATGGTTTCCGAACCATATATAAAAATGTCAGGAGAAACAGTTCCGCTTTCTTCTTCGATGAGTTTGTTGAGGATTGAATTGACACCAATATATCTTGGCATACTCATGTCACTGCTATTGCAAAGGCTGCTTCTCGAAAGCTTGGAACATTGTTCCAAACCAGAAAACTGTACATAGCTCTGCAACTTTTGATGCTTTATAAAGCTCAGATCAGTCCTATCAGTCAGTATGGTGCTTTGCCCCTAAGTATACCCTGAAGCTGGTGAAATCCATCCAGAAAAAAGCAATCCATCTGATTAGAGACACGAACATCACTTGCAACCTTGATAGTCTGGAACATCGAAGAAACGGCAAAGGAACGACAAAATACAATATTGAGGATTGAAGAGGTCTAACCTACTGGTGGGCTATTCCTAATACGGATCATATTAGCGCAGTAAACATCCATCAGCCCAATGTAAGGATTGACCCCGCTTTTAGGATGGTGATGATTCCGAATGGCCACCGTCCGGCCAAAGTTAACGGAAGTTGAAAATATTGCGAATGTTCCAGGATATTTAATGTTTCCATCATCAGAGATCAATCGTCGTTACGTTACGTTAACTACATCGGATATTCTTTGGCAATGGTTTTGGATACGGCTGAATCGTCTGAAGATTAGCGTTATTGAAACGTATAGTTGAGTCTCCAAGGAAAACTAACAAGCTTTGCTTGCTAACAGTTGCTGTCATCATCACAAATACTTATTGTCTATGCTGAACCACTATTGCAATCGGTTTTCTTTTCTAGGCCAGAAACACCAGTTTCTTCATATAATCTCTCAGATAGATTTTAGAATATTGCTGAGACAAAAGGGCTCAGCATCCAAATATATCGATTCAATACAACCCCTTGAAGCTCTGATAACTTAGGATGATTGCATTCAATTTGAACATTTATCGTTTCGCTACAATATCGCCCGTATATTAAGATTATCTTCATCTACCGATCGATGACATGGGTTTTGTTGGTTTTAAGAACTGCTGAGGTTTGTGACATATTCGCATACCCATGCGACTCAAACGTGGTCTAAAATAGGATACTCCGATTTAAAAAATTTACCTCGTGTTATGGGGCAAATATGATTCACAATTTGTCACTTCTTTGAACGGTAGCGTTTTTTCGGGCACCTCAAAAACCATCCAAAATGAGCTTATTATAGACAGTGTGGCATACATTATTAGGGAAACTATAAGCAAGGAGATTGAAAGTGTTTCTTTTTTTGCATGGGAAATTGATGAAACTACCGATATTACCTGTACATCACAACTTTCAATCGTTTTTAGATATGTCAAAGATNCGTTTTTCTGGACTTCCATAGATTTCCGTACCCCACCAACTTTACTTACAATTTGCACAAAAAATTCATTGATATAGTGTACGAAGAACTCGGAATGTTCGCTTTACCATCTACGTCTATGGAGGTGGGAGGGGGGCCAACTGTCAACGAAGTTTGGAAGCAGAATAAAACGCTGATAATCAGTTATGCTGATAAAGACACAGTGAGAGGTAAATGTACTTGATTACTCATTTTATTCGCCAGCATTTTTCAATAATAACACTCGCCATGATAGCATTTGAAAAATCGAAAGAATAACTTATCAAACATAGTAATATTTTCAAAATATTGTGAAGATATCACAATGTGACGTGCGTGCTACGTCACATCTATGTCGTAGGGATTTCGCATCGACATCACAGAGACGTACTTCTGTTCTACTCATATGACAATATTTACGATATCACTGCCAAGGTTTTCGCGATATCGCTGAGTCAAGTTTTCTGTCATATCGCTACAACAGATTTTGCGATGAACGTGTTACAAGTTTTCTTCTAAATTCAAAATTTCTGGAATGTTACCAGAATATTCTCTTTTCTTAACTTTGGATGTTCCACTTTGGACTTTTCACATGTTGCATTAATTGATCACAGAAATGGTTGTAGGGATTACGGACCTATTTTTTACCAGATGTACATGAACGCATCACATCATATTCAAATGATATTTGATTTTATAACTCACTTCTTAAGGAAATACTGGAATACAGCAACTTTCAATATATTCTTTGTGAACTCACGGTTACATGTCTTAAATATTACGAAGATTGATTGTTATAAATAATATGCAATATCGTGTTATGAACAGTTGTTAATCAAGTGCAGTGCAAATTACAATAGTTAGATATGAAATGATGATTGTATGAACGTTTGAGAGACGTGGTGAAGGTTGCGAGAGAATTAGATTGGAATGAATATAATCCTCTGGTATTATACAGATTGAGTTGTATTTTAATTCAGTTGTCAAAGTTCGAAAGTTCATGTTGAAGACCCTGGTTAATTTTAATACATTATTAATTCTTTTTATTTCTAAAACACTCCTGATATGACTATTTTTTTTACAATTTTCAGTACGCTCAATCCTAATGCTACTACTACACACTAGCTTCTGCTTCAAAAAACTATTATTACGAAATTCTTTTTCAGAGAAAGTATTGGTGACCTGAAGATAAGTTCGATGCTCATTCCTGGAACGCATAATTCTGGATCATTCGCAGGAGTTGTAGCTTTTTTAGAAGATTATGTGTTGAATCAGGATAGAAGTGTATGGACCCAGCTGGCTTTTGGAATTCGATACTTAGATTTTAGAATAGGATACTATAATGGTGACGGGTGAGTCGAGAGGTTTAGGTTTGAGACACACTTTTTATCTAGATATATACCGTTTCTTCTCCTGCTTGAAAACATATGTGATCATAACAGTGAGAAGTTTGCTGTTTATTTGTATCTGCTTGAACAGGGAGACCAGCACGGTTCATTCTGATGTATTTTGAAAAAGTTTTGACCTCTAAATGCATATATGTATATATATATATACCGGGTGTCCCAGAGCTTTTAGGCCAGCAGATATCTCAGTTACCTGCAGAACAAAAATTAAAACAAAAATATGTATCATAGGAGAACACAAGCACTTTCATGCAGCATAGCAAAATCCACCCCCTGGTAATCAAACATAGTAATATTTTCAAAATATTGTGAAGATATCACAATGTGACGTGCGTGCTACGTCATATCTATGTCGTAGGGATTTCGCATCGACATCACAGAGACGTACTTCTGTTCTACTCATATGACAATATTTACGATATCACTGCTAAGGTTTTCGCGATATCGCTGAGTCAAGTTTTCTGTCATATCGCTACAGCAGATTTTGCGATGAACATGTTACAAGTCTTCTTCTAAATTCAAAATTTCTGAAATGTTACCAGAATCTTCTATTTTCTTAACTTTGGATGTTCCACTTTGGACTTTACACAAGTTGCAGTAATTGATCACAGAAATAGTTGTAGGGATTACGGACCTATTTTTTACCAGATGTACATGAACGCATCACATCATATTCAAATAATATTTGATTTTATAACTCACTTCTTAAGGAAATACTGGATTACAGCAACTTTCAATATATTTTTACATGGTTACGGTTACATGTCTTGAATATTACGAAGATGATTGTTATAAATAATATGCAATATCGTGTTATAAACAGTTGTTAATCAAGTGCAGTGCAAATTACAATAGTTAGATATGAAATGATGATTGTATGAACATTTGAGAGACGTGGTGAAGGTTGCAAGAGAATTAGATTGTAATGAATATAATCCTCTGGTATTATACAGATTGAGTTGTATTTTAATTTCTAATGGATCTTTGTGATTATGAAAGTATTTTCTATCGATATAGGTGACGAATTTGCTTTGTATAGATTCAAGTCTTTCAATATACGAGATATACGGGGGGTTCCAAATAACTGAAGCAGAACTGAGCTGGCTATTTACATAAGCCATGTAAAGTGTACGAATAGAGTTACTATTACGAAAGTTGTGACAAGTCCTGATTAGAAATCCAAGAGCTTTGTTGGCTTTTTTGCCAGTTTTTCTCTCCTAAGTCCTTGACTTTCGATGTTTTCTTTTGTTGATGTCTGTTTATGTGATGTAAGTTTAATAGAGTGGCATTTTTTAAGATTGAGGAACATAGAGTTTTTCTCGCAGAATTTCCCAAGATTATTGATGTCGTTCTTAATGAGGAGGGAATCGTTGCTACAAGTCACAGTATGGAATACTTTCAAGTCGTCAGCATACATTAAATGTTGAAGAGTATAGGCCCCATATGGGAGCCTTGAGGGACTCCGGAAGTAATATTAATGAATCTAGATCTGAATGTTTGCAGAGTGACTGCCTGAGACCGATATAATATACGACTGAAACCATCTTAGCAGATCACCGTGTATACCGATTTCCGCCAGCTTGTCCAGTAAAGTTGCATGATCTATCTCGTCTAATGCCTTGCTGAAATCGGTATAGATAGCATCAACCTGGTAGCCTTTATCTTTGCTCTTCAAGAGATATTCAGTATAGATAAATAAATTGGTTTCAATCGAGCGATGTTTTACAAATCCATGCTCGACAAGGCATAAATATGCTTCACGAAGCCTAAAAGTTAGTCATCGGACATGATGGTTAAACTTCTGAAGAAGCTAGCCACTCGCGCCAGCGAAACGTCAGGAAGAAATTACAAAAATCCACGGCTTTCAAACTCTAAAAACAGTGACACATTCAAACAACTCATTACCACCTTCAAAGATGGGAACTACAAGTGCAGTTTTCATATTTTTGGGAAAGATCCTTCTTTGATAGACTTATTAAATAAAATAAATAGGATATGAGACATTTCTTGAGCGCATTGTTTTAATAAACAAGTGGGTATATGGTCCACGCCAGTTCATTTCTGAGGAATATCCAGTATCTTTCTCAGAATGATATTTTGAGGGATGTGATAAGTACTGAATGTAAAGCTATCGGTTACTCTATTAGTATCTGGTTGATTCATACCTATTGCCGGTTTGAATGAAGGAGCAAAAAACTCTGTGATAGTAAAATTTTCAGATCATGAACATTATTATTTTCCACTATAGTAAAGCTGAGTCGTCATTTCATAACATTTTTTCAGACAATCCATGGCTCTGGCACCCGCTTTCACAATATTGGGGCGACACTACAAAAGTACCAGCATTGAAGGATTACATCCAGAAAACTATTAACGAACGCAACCCTCTAGGATCAACAAACCCTAACTGGGCCCTTATGGCGGAACTAACTCCACGACCGATTGACATTATTTTCAGAAGAAATGGTCTCCGGAAGTTGGCACACGACGCGAATGTAGAAGTGACCAAGTGGTTCCGGGATCAGTGGGGCAAGAAATCAAACATCGTTGCGACTGACTACTTTTTGGGAAATGATATGATAAACGTTGCGATGTCCATCAATTCTTCCTAGAAGATGCAGCTGTTGTTTACTTAACTATTAAATTATTTTTATTTTTGACTGTTTCAGTTTTCAGTTCAGCTCGTAAAATATTCATCTTCTCCGATGAAAGAAACAATTCATGCAAGAAGTCATGTCATTCCTTATCAGTATCGAAACATATTTTTATGAACATCTCGACGTTGAATGAGTGGAGCAATTTGTGCCATTGAGGAACCCCATTGGCAGTGAATCTGAGGAACACAGAACATCTTGGCATGTTTGCAACACACGTTCGGGCCACATAACACCGAAGTACATCTGTATCTGTAGAGTAGGGAGAGTTAGTGTAGACCCACATCACTTAAGCCACATGTGACCCATTGTGCTCCCTCCCAAGAAGTTGTCCTCCTCGGTCACCGTCCATTCTGTCCTTTCCAGGAAGATGGACAGGTCACTAGAGACATCTCCTTTACATTGGCAGGTGTAGGCCAAGATTCGCCGAACACACAACCCTTTGTTAACCTTGAGGTGTCTCACGGTGGTCTCCGCGAAGGTTTTGGAAGGTGCAGCGACATTACTGTCGTTGCGCGGCTTCTTCAACCTTCTTGGTGTTCCCTCCGTGGAGGTGCACAAGTGAGGGAGCTTTCCTGCAGGGGCAGCCGGTTCCTTGCCTTCATTCAAGGCGAAGCTCTTGGCGCCAGCCGCAGGAAGTGCCCTTGCTGTTGGAGGTGAAGTGGTGTTGGCACGATTCCTTACACTTTAGCTTGGGTAGGCTGGTCTACGGTGGCATGTTTTGCAAAGGCTTTTGGGAAGTTTTAGTTTTTCTCACCCTACTTATTACTGCCACATTGGCATCCCGGACAGGGCCTCTAGTCCCCTGGCCGTACTCCTATCCACCACCTGGGGACGCGGCCGATAGGTAGCCCAACCTCGAGCACCAAAGTACATGTTCGACATAAACTTAGCGGTAAAAGTCTTAAACCCCAAAGACTGGAAAAGAATAGTCATCCTGGGAGCATGCTCAGCAGAAACACCTGGTATACAGACAGTCGAAACCCGAACGGAGCCGGAATTTACTATGAAGGGGACATCTTCATTTCACTTACATTGCATACATTTCAGTCTTCCAATAATTTGAGGCTGCAGAAAGGAGACCAAGGAAACCAAAAGTGACATCCGGACTATCTGGGATTGTTGTTAAGAACTGGCGGACAGGAATAAATCGACAGAAGTACCAGAAGTACTCGGCCCGACCTAGAGATGGCGATAGGCGTATATTTGAAAATTTAGATAAGAGAAAGCTGTGTGCAAGATGGGTGCCGCGTTTGCTCATACTCGAATAAAAACAGTTTCTTGAAGATGTTTCAAGTGAGTGGTTGGCGAAGTTTCACAGCAACAAGGGAGAATTCTTGCGTCGTTTCATAACCATGGATGAAACATGGGTCCATCACTTCACATCCGAGACAAAACAATCGAAACAGTGCACTCAGAAGGAAGAATCAGCTCCAAGGAAGGCAAAGACCGTTTCATCTGAAGGCAAGGTCATGACATCGGTTTTTTGGGATGCGCGTTTCATAATTTTCATTGACTATCTTGAAAATGGTAAAATTATCAACGGCGAGTACTATGCGAACTTATTTCAACGTTTGAGAGAAGGAATCAAGCAAAAAATGCCGCATTGTCAAAACAATGCACCAGCTCACAAATCCATTATTACAATGGCCAAAATTAATGAATTGAAGTTTGAATTGCTACCTCATACACCGTATTCACCAGATTTAACCCCCTCGGATTATTTTCTGTTCCTAATCTTGAAAAAGTGGGTCATTGGTCAAATATTTTCCAACGATGAAGAAGTGATGTCGGCAGTTAATAACTATTTTGAGACAGTCATTTTTAGACCTAAACCAGTTGTGAAAGTACCAAAGTACGGAACCAAATAGGAAAGTGATCATAGAGAGTACTTGGAAAATATTACGCATACGATAAAACCTTTATGAAGAAAACATACGAGAAGAGGAGTGAAAAACTTCTTCAACAAAGCAGAGATCGGTAGAACAATCAGAAGGCTACTCACTGGACACAATTCATTGAAATGACATCTGAACAAAATATTGTTGCACAACTGACACCTCAACTGCACATAATGCAATTGAGTGATAGAGACAGCTCGTCACATTTTATGATGAGGCATAGAATTTTGTCCAGAAGAATGTGATATACAGTGCATTTCTTGAATGTCACCCCCCTTTTATTTTTCAAATTTGGGATAATGAAATTAATGCATGAATACTTCATTTTGAAGTAAAATTGACAGATGAAACTCTCAAGTCGCCAGATAGCGACTGGGCGCCATCTGGAGAAAAAATTAAATTGAAAGGGGTGTCTTGTAACATATCATTTTGAAGCTCCTGACGAATTCTTCACAACCCTAGAATATGAAGTCAATATCTTCACCTACTACTAAATGGCGGAATAGTTAATGATTTCCTGAAGACAAACACATTCATATCGATATTTCTAGAAATATTTCTTTTTATTTGCCTTATGGCAATTCCAACGAACCGATAAGGTTTATTGAGTTATTTTTTGTTTATACAAAATTGGAGTGAAACCAACCCTTGGGTTTTTCGGGAGACACATACCCAATATCCAGAAAAAATTAACGTTTGGCGGGAAAATTGGGAAACCATATTGTAGGACCTCTATTAATTGATCAAAATTGAACAGGGGAACTCTATTTTAATATGCTGGATACTACTATTGACCTTCTCATCACTGGAATCTTCGAAGCGAACCCTTATGAATTCGATATGGATATTGTATTCCAACAAGATGGAGCATCACTACATTACTCCAGACAAGTAAAAAACTATTTGGATATTAATTTTCCCAGTCGTTGGGATGGCCGTCAAGGTCCTACAGAATGGCCTGCCCGCTCGCCAGATTTGACACCTTTGGCCTTTTTCATAGAAAAAATATGCACTGTATACTATTAAATTCCTGAATATCTTGCATTTTTTTCCAAAAACGATTTTAACGGTTTATTTGAATTCAGTTTAACATGAAAGTTGAAAATTCCTTGAAACTGCAGAATATTTAAGACACTAACAGCTTGTGGCTTTGGGTTCAGATGAAATTTAACCCCTTTGGGACCGTTCAAATATTACGTGAGCACCATATGGGGGCGGGGGGGCCTTTGCTTTGCTTATTTTGGATGACATGGGGGGTAGGGGAGTCTAGATGATGATTACGTCATCGGTAGTTATTTCCTTTTTTACACGAATGGCAACCCTCACATTGTCTTTGCTTGAAAACGAAACGCATTTTCGGGGATTCTCGCAAATAATACGTACGTTTAGGCACTCGCTTTAAAGCCGAGTATGGGAATTACTACGCGCTGTTCACTTGTCTAAATTTCCTCTATCAGTGTATTGTTTTGTTTGGATACTCTAGCGAGTAGAGGTATTGGAAGCATAGTAAAGCAAGTTGACATTTGTATTACCATTGATTCCATTAGCCAAAGTTTAATATTTAAATAAGATGTCGTTTCAAATAGACAAATCCAAGTTATACCAAAAATTGTTTGAGAGTTTTAAAAAATCTCATACAAGCACGAAAGTACAAAATGTACAAAAGTTAGTTAACGAAGTGTGGCGAAATTACAAATTACAAGCAGACTCCGACAAGGAACTAGATATTATTTTATCTAAGAGAATCGAAGAAGAATTGCAAGCGGCAACTAAAAATAAATCCAATCTACAACATTTTTTTCAAGGTGAGTGACGAAATCATTTTAGGTACCTATGAGTACTAGAAATATTAGAAATCGCCAAAAAGTTTCTCTTTACTGATTAGAAAATATTATGGCCTATCTCAAAGTATAGAGGTAATATTCAATATATAGATTTATTTCTTATGATTGATTCCGTCAATTGGTCATAAAATACCCATCTGTTTATGCTGGTATCAAACTCCTTTCCAGGGAGCCGGACAACCGGAAGCCGCCGGATATTCTGGACCAACATACATCGTTATTCGAAGTGGAAAGCATAGTTTATCTACTGCTAATACTCATGCTCAGGATTTCGAGACGTTTCTCGAACTTGAAGAGTTTCGACCATTACCTAAAACTGACCATGGACTAGTTAAACCAATGGAATTCATGACGGTTGATGGAGGGCCAGATGAAAATCCGCGTTATCAAATAGTCATAGGGTTTGCTTCACAAAACTTTAAGCGACATGATCTCGATGCATTGTTTTTAGCTACCAATGCTCCTGGAAGAAGTGCCTATAACAGAGTAGAGCGCAGAATGGCTCCTCTTAGTCGGGAACTGGCTAGTTTGATATTGCCTCATGGCTATTTTGGGTCTCATTTGGATGAACGTGGCGTTACAATTGATGAACATTCAGAAAGATCTAATTTCGAATTTGCAGGAAATGTATTAGGTGAAGTATGCAGTTCAATGGAAATTGATGGCTATAATGTTGATTCAAAATATGTTGGAACATGTGAACAAGATCTTCCTGACATTAAATGGTATTCAGAACATGTGTGTGAAACCCAATACTTGCTTCAAATTGTAAAATATAGAAAAACAGAATGCTGTCATCCAATAAGTGGCTTATTCAGATTACTAGACAACAGGTTTCTTCCACCACCTGTAAAAGTAAAACAAACAGTTGATGGCTTGGTTTTGGATGAAGGAGGGCAATTTCTTAATCTTCCAGTTAATTTAGCTCTACGCTTAAGTGCTTCACTCAAAAATTTCCTGCAAATGCCCTACGATTATTTTTGTCCGACGGTAAAGATGAGGGTATCAAGTCGAACATGCAAAACGTGTGGTCTGTATCATGCTTCCGTCACATCGAAAAGATCCATAGAAAGTAAACACACACACTGAGGATAGTTAGACCTGTAAGAGAACGTTTCTCGTCGTGCTAATGAACTGATGTGCATTATTCAAAATTTAGAGCACCATGATGTTGAATGGATCGATGAGAACGACGGAGACCTTCCAAAATCAGGTGGAAGCGAGCAGACTCAAAACACTGAGCAGCAATCGAAGCAATCCAATGTCATCAAAAACTTAGAACCATCGATTCATGGACTGAAGACTGTTAATTTGAATTTAATATGTGTACCAAAAATTCAAAATAAGTTTGTTATGTTAGTAAGATATAATATGTTTGTCCTTTACTCTATGTTGAATACGGTATCAGTAAACTATAATCTCTATCCTAAATCTATTTTCTTATTTTTCAAATTATAATCATAATATTAAAAAAAACAATACATTGATTGACAAATGTTTACGTAAGCATGGGGGGAGGGGGTAAGAGCTTTGCTTACTTTTGCTGACGAGGAGGGTGGGGGGGTAAATAATTGCAATAAATCTGCTTACGTAATACTTGAACGGCCTCTTTGTCAACGCTCATGATTTTTACAGTTTCAAGCACAGAACATAGCATGCGCTTTCTAATCATACAATATTAGTCAACGAGTTTTATGATAGGCTCTCAAAGTTTAGAATGCTGAATAAGAATTTCCTTCCTTCATCTCTTCAGCTTTCAGTTCAAGAGACTATAGTTTCAACTGGTTATTTTGCATTGAGAGCTGCAGAGAAACACAGAAGACGAATCTCGTTCGGTGATCGGAGACGAAGGGACTCAGTTTTGTAGAAGTTGTATCATTGATATCCATGATTTTTCATCTGCCTATCCCAATGGCGTCTTTATAAGGAGATATGTTCATGTTAACTTATACAAAACATTATCAATGATAATATGAAAGCGAACAATGAAACATAGTTGAACCAGAAAAAAACTAGCTTCTGTAGCATTTTTATTGAGGAAAAACGCATTACATAAAGCGAAAAACGAATGAATATCAGTTCTTACTACAAAAGTTAAGATAAAATGAAAAACGTACGAAATATCAAAAGTTAGTGATGATTTTGATTTAGTCGTTGGTTCATTCACGAAAATATAGTAATCAATTATGTACAAAAACTAACGTTACATGTATAAATAAATTGTTACAAAAAATATTACACTCGATTCTCTTCTTTACACAGTAAAGGACAGTTTGACTAAGATTCACTACACAGTCGATGGAAAGCAAAAATTCGTTTCTATTACCCGCCTCGGGAATTGAACCCCGAAGCAGAGAGATCCGCGTTAACAAATTTGTACCTTCGTTAGACCACTCCAACCCTTATTCTATATCACAGTATGGTTATCATATTTGATCTCGCCATCATTCCTCGGCAAATCGTCCAACACTAGCGACATCTGGCCGATCGGCGCAGCAGACTCGATTAGATTCTGCGCACTCAGTGACGCCATGTTCTCGTTGAAATTGGGCATTCTGGTGTTATTTCGCGACGTCACTGTGCTTCTCCTGAAACTGCTCCTCAAAATGGAAGCAACTTCAGCTGCTGTCAATGCCGTAGAAGTGGTCTGGAGATTTCTCAGCCGCTCCAAGGTCGACAGCCTAGCAGATGATCCATCCACGACTGTCATAGACAGCTCATCCGAAGTGGGTCTACTGTTCATCTCAACCAAAACAGCATTGTAGTCGGGGGGAGGTGGAACGCTAGAGGGGCTGCTGCTGGGGATAATCCCCCGATGCCTGCTGCTGCCCTCCCCCAAAACGTTGGCGATTCTTCTGACGCTTCTTCGTATGCTTTGCCGCAGGAACTTGGCGAGGCGGGCTCCCGTAGCTGTCGTGTATGATGGCGGGGGGGTGTACTTGGGAGGGGGGTCTTCTGTAGCGGCGTTGGCGGTGTTAGTTTCGGCACGAATGGCTTCGGCCGCTTCCTGGACTGCTAGCTCATCCATATGCTCCCCGATTGGCGGTCTGTAGAGCAACTGGATCCTCTTAAACAGTAAAGTTCATTAAGAAATGCTCAAAAGGATCACACAGGGAGGTTATATGAAGCTGTCATAAAGAATTCGATCATACTTATTTCACTGACAGTGAACTAAAATCAAATTTCTTTGTAATACTTATAAATCTTTACTGTTAATATTCGTTAACCGTTGAAAGTTGAAGATTATTGCAAAACTTATAACGACTTATCTGATTTATATTGAAAGGATTATATTTTTAGGAGTGATTAATTTTTGGGAAAGAAAGTTTTTGGCTTTCTACTACTCCATTCGATTGCTTCCTTCCTCTCTTTGGAAGATTCCCACTTTTTCTTTTGTATCAAGATGGAGTAGTAGAAAGCCAAAAACAAGTATGATTATTTATCTTCCAGTAGTGGTGATGATTTTGTGACTGATACTATCGAATGACCTCTCGAAAGCATCAACGTTTCAAATAAATTACACCATTCACTATTATCACCACCATTTTGTGACATGCAATATATGCAAATTAATTAGTCAATTATAAGTAATTACATTTACTTTTTAATTAATTAACAAGTGGTATTACTTCAATCAATTAACTCTCCTTATAGAGAAAACAAATTCCATTACATTCAGCCAGGTTAGATGACTTCTTTCTGGATAACTGAATGATCAGAAATAAAAATACTCTTCATTTTTATGAATATGTATCGATGAGAAATTGAATCTTAGTGGATAAAGGGAATTGTAGCATTTATATGTACATTTGAGAATATACCAGAGGAGTTTTCAGAGAGTTTTTCATCAAAGTGGCGTGAAACAGAAATTCAGAATTCAATACGAAACAAAATAGTCCATATAGGCCAGAAGAAATTTCAAAGAGATCATAAAACATTTCAGACCACAATCATGAGACACTCAATTTGGATAAAAATACAAAGATAAAAATACAACTCATAGTTCAGAATGAATAAGAAAGGGTGCATACAAATATGAATGAAGAGTTTGAATAGCATTTTTGAAGATAAGAGAGTGTTCAGACATTTGGAAATTACAGAGAAATTAGGAATACCAGTATTCAGGAACATAACAAGACAGAACTGAACTGGGAGAGATCACCGTTATTCGAAATTATTCGAGAGACTTCGAAAGGAAAATTGGAGAAACGAGTGGTCATTTCGAAAATAAAAAGTATCAGGTCGTTTCAAAACTTTTGCCCGTCAAGAGGAAGATCTTCCTCTTGTCGGAACACGTGTCGAGGTGTCAAAATAATGGTTTGGTGTTGGGAAAAAACTCCAGTAATATATATTTCACACAAGTCTAATGGGGAATGTTCCTCCTGACGAAAATCAAGTAGTTTTCATAAAAGAGCTCTAAAACAACGCATTTTAAACTCATCATTCCAACATTTTTCTTTAAAAAAATATTCAAATACTCAAAAGAAGGAACGAAATAATGCATTCAACATTGAAAGGGATTTGTTTCTATTTCACCATTTGGCAACATCGGTTAGAGTTAATAAAGGACAGTGAATCTGTTACCTGTATGAGACTAACAAAGATGAAATATTTCAGAGGCGTGCTGTTCTGTTTATTTATGTTCCGAGTTCCGAGACATTCTGTGATATATGACATTTTGTGCACCTAACCTATCTTCCTCTATATAAATAAATAACAAAACAACTGTTGTTTATGATAATTTTCCTTTTTTAAAGTAGAATATCTAGGTACGTATAAATTATTTCAACTTGATATACGCGATGTTGCCAATATTTGAACCAGAAACAAATCCCTTTAAAAATTAAAACCCAACATTTGAAACATCAATTTGAATACTTTTCAAAGTGAATTTGAAAAACTCATGAATTAAACTCAACTTTATTTTGTTCAAACTTGCATTTGCTGTAATAATCCAAATTGAGGAACATTCCCCATCGAATTGAAAACAAAGAAGAATTGAGGGTTAGTGTTTTTACGGAGATTTCACATGATACAGGTAATATTCTGAAACCAAATAGGTTAGGTTAGGTTAGGCTAAGTTAGGTTAGGTTAAACGGATTCAAATATTCCAAATAAATGATTCAGGAAACTCCAAAGATGATATTCCAGAATTTTTTTGATATAAATGAAACACTAGAGACAGTTGAAAAACTTCAAAAATTTGTTTCACTTTGTAACTTCGAAATTTCAAGGTTGACCTCAAACTACGAGGTCCGGCTATTAAATAACGAGACTGGTTACGAAAAAGGGTTGTATCATAAAAATGATTCTACATTCAAATGCTCCCCTTCAATAAATTCTTTTCCCCTCGCCGCACACCTTTTCATACGTTTTTTCTATTGATCGAATCAGTGCTGGAAGTCTTCTTTGGTGAGGGCCTTTAGAAGTTTTGCCGTTTTTTGCTATACCGGTCCCATCGACTCAATCGGGCCCCTTTCAAAGCAGATTTTATCTTTTGAAACAAAAAAAGTCGCACGGTGCCATATCTGGCGAGTACGGCGCGTGTTCGAGCAGTGGAATGCGTTAATCGGCCAAATACCGCTTCACAGATAGCGCGTTATGGGCAGGTGAGTTGTCCTGGTGCAAAATCCACGAATGGGCTTGTTTCGTGCTATGAAAAATGATACTGGTTTGCTTATAGACTGATTGAGTAAGGGGTTTACTAAATTTATCAAGCCTAATCGGTTCCAACATCTCTTTATATTTGCCGGAAAAAGAATAATTCGAAAAGCAAGAATTTAAATTGGCCGCGTGTCTGTTGACCAATAAAATTGATCGTTTGTAGAGCGGAGTTGCCAAGTGTATTGGTTTTTAATATCCAATCAGAGATCTGATGATCCAATTTGACAGACGCCATTTTTGTTGTCAACTCGGTGTGAAAACAAATATTACAATTATCTAAGTGCGAAAACCACTATTACAATTATCTAATTAAAGGTTTTTTTTGTAAAAGGTAGGTTTCGGCCAGTGCCTATTCTGCTGCATATTCCGTGTCATTAGTTTACGTTACGAAAAATATTTTTTCAGGTTATTTTTGGATTGATATGTTCTGGAGTAATTCTATATTTCTCTGTACATATTTTTCTTCTTCTTCTTTCCTATTCAATGGCCTCAGCAACTAAGGCTATCCGGCCAGTTGGTAACGTTCCATAACTCGAGGCGTTTCTTATGAACTCGTTCTCGCAGTGTTGCCAAAACTGGCAAATAGTAAGTTAACAGTCTGACCCTCTGGAACCCATTCAGTCATCACGATACCATTAATGTCGAAAAAAAGATTAACATTTCTTGAATTTTGTTTTGAACATCCTTGCTTTTTTGATTCTGGGCAATTCAGGCGTCTTCCAATGAATTAATTGCCGCTTTGTTTCAACATCGTATTGAAAAAACCACGTTTCGTCGTTAGCAATAATGTTTTTCATCAGTCCGGGATCTTCTTCTAACCTTTCAAGGAAATCTGAGCAGACTTGTTGATGCAAGAGCTCTTGGTCAGGAGTCAGGTTTTTTGGCAACAACTTCGCTCAGACTTTTGTCATGTGTAATTCCTGGTGTAGAAGTTTTCTAACCGTTTCTTTATCGACGTTTACAGCCTCGGCAATCATCCTGATGCTCATTCGACGATCTGCACGCACAATTTGGTTGATTTTGGTCACCGTTTCCGGAGTTGAAACAGTGACAAGGCGACCTGGGCGCTGGTCATCTTCAGTGCTCTCTAGGCCCTCAATGAAGCGCTTACACTACTCAAAAACACGCGCACGAGATATAGAATTGTTCCCATAGGCCTCTCGCAACAATTTATAGCACCCAGACGGAGTTTTTTCAATTCAACGAGAAATTTGATATTGATACGTTGCACACATGGTTTTTGGCATGAGAAAAAACACGTTCGTTTCAAACCGCTACTGCACAAATACTATAATAGTGAGGAGAACGTGTTTTGGTAAGTGAATGGAAAAGATTTCCACTATTCGTTTCTTCCCGCCCTCTAGGCGCGCAGTCTCGTTATTTAATAGCCGGACCTCGTACTAGTGACTGACCTGCAACCTGCAAATTCATATCCAAAGCGGACATCTACAATGAAGAAAATAACGAATAAATTTTGAGTTTTGTATATACTAACATGTATTGATGGATCCTCGTATTCCTGTGAAGCAGCAGAAAAAATTTAGTAGTTAGTTCAAGTTGGTAATTCACAATGAATTCTACAATGAAATGGAAATACAATGCTACGGTGAAGAATTTCGTGAAGTGATGTGTTTTTCCAAGGGGTTTTACTTACATCTAAAATATCGCTAGGTCCGTTGTTCAAATACCTGTAGCTTTGTATAACCGCCACAAGCGGTATACACAAGATAGGAAACAGCTGCAGAATCGAGCTGAACTGCCTTGCCCATAAAGGCCAGTATGATGCATGAGGAGCATGATGCCATATGAACATATCCTTGAAGCTACCATTTTTGAATGTTGCGATGCATAGGACCTGAAACATCAATTAACCAGTAATAGAGGTAATAGGCAGTCNAAATAAGTTTGTTATGTTAGTAAACGTTCTACTTCAACATTATCTCCAGTCAATTTTCTAATATTACATTCTCTTAAAAATTATATAAGATTATACTGCTTCAGGATTATGTGGAACAAGGTAATTGAGCATGAAAATTTTTCAACGTAGACTAAATTTCAAAAGAATTTCTCATGATGCATTCAAACCACACTTTTGCTTCATAACTGTGTCTTCTTTCACCGTAGCAAACTGATTCTAACAGCATACAAAAAAAATGTTCGCAATGAGGTACTCCCCCACGAGGCACTGGAGTACGGGGTCCCCCCCATATTTGTTGATGGACAATAGCGTATCAAACATTTGCTATGATGATGTTTTGAATTCAAATCACAGAAAATATATTTATCATTATATCAAATATAAGATGTACAGTGCTTGACCTTGAAGTACTTCGTATGCCCCTTGTTACACTACTGTGATCTTTTATTACTTCTGAATGATCATGTTTTATGGACTACGAAACATAAAATAATATCAACATAATATCGCAATTTTCAGATTTTTCATCAATCACGACCTGATAAGAGTGACCAAAGTCATACCACTTTTGAAAGAAATCAAGAAGTTTCTGCAGCTCGCTTACATCATAACTGTTTATATAACTTGATGACGCAGTTTGACCAGTGTTGTTACCCCCCGAAAAGTAAATGGTAATAAGTTATGTCAAAAAAGTCACATTTGACAGACAATCGTAACTTTTGGAAGAGTCACACACAAAGCACAGCATTTCGCGCCAAACAACACTAGCTGATTCATCTTCAATACGTCAAATGTCAGTGTTGATACGTCAACTGTCATTTCAATGTTCTTCAAAATGTGAAAAAATGGGTAACAACATAACTTGAACAGTAAAAAACAATGTAATAACAAATCATGGAATTATAAAACAACAAAAAAAATTAATTGGTGCTCCTGGGCGGCTTCATTTATTCCAGTGGCGCATTTGCGTTTTCAGCTACAGGAAAACCTGCAGCACCACATCATCTGAAGATCTTGATCTGCCAATATCTTCTCTCTCGTAAAATAAAGTGTAGGGTGTGTCCACAGACTCCAATAAATTCATTACATCGCCAGAACACTTAGTGACACGACTATCGTCAAACTTAAACCAAGGCGTGATAATAACCAGATTCAACGCCAGAATCACAGTGAACAATGACTGCATGAAGACTAGAATAGTGGTCTGTTAGATTGAAGTGTTCATCTATTTCGAACCTTCTTAACAGTTTGGTGCTTCCGTCAGAGGTTGAGTCATGTTTGAAGATCATCAGTGTTATTATTAGATTGACTGGTGCCTCAGCTATACTGGTTTTCTTATAACACTAAGTTAGTTTGGCGCATGTTTGGCAATACAGTCGATCATCACCTGTTAGAAGTTCCATTTTCAGATGATTTAACAATAAGCTTTGCACGGACTGGTTATTAGTCATATAAGAAAACGCTAGTTGTGTTCAACAAGAACCCCAAGAATTCGGAACAATCCTCTTGTTGTCCTAACTTGATAATTTTAAATACCAAAAGTACCATTTTGTTACTAAAGTATCGCCAAGAACAATCCTGAGTTTAAAGAAATGTTTCGTTGGCTGAATTGAAGAAGGCTGAATTGATAAGTTGTTTTCATGACATTGCCAACAAATAAGAAAATAAAGGAACGAACAGCAAGTGTGGAACTCCAATTTCCTGTGGCTTCAGCGCGTATTCTTCCTGCACGGTTTTGACCGAAGAATCATCGTACTATATCCAGCAGTTGTAGCCGTCGTGGGAGGCATCGGTCACACAGTGCACAACTTTGGCATCTAAGGCGTTGTGGTAAATGACGGCGAAGAGCTTGCATTGCTTCTTTGTTGAAGACTGTGTTTGCGACGATATCAATGTCGAATCAATTTTCAAGACGAATCCAAACGCCAAAGCCTTGATAAACTTCGTGCAACCGTCGTAACTATATTCGAAAAACAGATACAATATGCGGATAGCTGAAAGTTCGCAGAGCAAAGTGCAGAGAAAAGTGTTTTCGTATAATTCAGCGTTCATATTTTGGAAAGAATAGCATAACTCTTTCACAAATACCTTTCAACTTACCATCAGTGCTACAGGCAGAATAACGTTCCAAGTGAATGAAAGCAATGCTGGCGCCCATGACAAAAAGCATGGATGGTTATTTTGATAAAAAAGCGCTGTTACCACAGTATCTCCACTGTAAGGTCTTCCTCGTACCATGAATACAGCCAATATTTGCAAAAGGATGACTATCACCAGCCACCATATTCCTCCAATGGTGTAATCAAAAAAGTACACGACGTAGATTCCCATCTGAAAATTCAATTATTATATTAGTCGCTCCATAGAAAGCGCAATCTTTATAAAGCGTTCTGCAAAGAACATGGATGATTCAAGAAATACTTCATTGTGAGATTTCCAAATTGGTAGAAACATGGTGTAAGGAACACTCACTGTCGATCAATACCAAGAAGACTTAAATGGTCCTTTTCTCCAGGAAAGGAAGTCTTCATCGAACCTAAAACCTCCCGAAATATTCAAAAGCAAACTGAACTTCTCTGAAGAGGTGAAATACTTTGGTACTATCCTCGACAAGAAGCTAACATGGAACTCTCATCTACAGAGTAGAGCAAAAAAGCATATGTGGCTTATAAGCAATGTCGAAGAACAGTGGGACGCGCATGGGGTCTTTTACCTCGTGTGGTCACCTGGATCTACACTGAAATAATAAGCCGTATGTTAACGTACGGAGCCATTGCATGGGGACCGAAAGTTCTAGAAGCAACGGCCATCCAAAAATTATATCAAATACAGCGACTGGCTTGTTTAAACATCACAGGAGCCATGAGAACAACACCAACCGCGGCAATGGAAATAATTACGGGTCTGACCTGTACGTCAAGGAGGTTGCGTCAATGGTCTCGAAGTAGAAATGGGTCAATTGAGGCTTAGCCTATGGCGAGAAGCGCTTACTGTACAACATCTGCTGCAGGCAACCAGTGATGCAATTGAACCCAGGTTTGTGTATAATAAACCCTACAAATTACAAATAAAACAGAACACAGAGTCAGATGCTACAGATGCAATATCCATATACAGGCTGATTCACGGTGGATGGCACATTAGACGTTTCTGGTGAACCAGACAACGGATCACTTTGAAAATTTAATGGAGGGCATATTCGGACATTCTCTAGCCAACTAAAATATTTTCGACAATGC